TCTCAGTCTTGGCACCCCACCAAAGAAGCACACACAAAGAAGGCACAAAGAAGATGCTTCACATTGGAGCCAGAGGTCCTGGGTTCAACTTTCATTTCTCAAGTTTACTGCCTGGGTAAGTCATGTAGCCTCCTCCTAAGTTTCTTCATCTAAAACATGATGGCGTGGTCCATGCCTTTAGATCTGTGATCCTATGAATACATTATACTTTGACTCCATTACTTCCTCCCATTCCAGTGAAACTACAAACAGCTTAGGAGTTGTTGTTGAGTCATTTTTCAGTTGTATCCGACTCTTCATAACCCCATTTGGGGTTTTCTTGGCAAAGATACTGGAATGGTTTGCCATTTCCTTCTCTAGCTCATTTGGTTGATGAGGAAACTGAGGCAAACAGGGTTGAATGACTTGCCCAGGGTCACACAGCTTGTAGGTATCTGAGACTGAGTTTGAACTCAGGAAGATGTGTCTTCCTGACACCAGGCTGGGTACTCTGTGCACTGTGGTGCCACTCAGCAGCCCAAACTTAGGAATTACAGTGGTGGTAATTTACAGAATTTTAGAGTTGGAAGGGACCTCAAAGTCGTCTAGTCCACCCGGTTTCATTAAATGAAAGGTGTTTATTCCAAGTTAAATTTTGAAAGGTCTATTCCCACATCTAGATATTCCTCCCATGACTATTTATATTATTTCTTTAAGTCTTTTAGGTGAAAGTTCTCAGTCAGTTTCCATCTGATGGCAAAGGACTTTCAAATATAGGCAAAGTCAAAAATCCATAAGGTAGTTTTGGAAGAATATAGTTCATAGGATTTCAAAATTTAGAAGGACTCGGAGGTCACCTGGAAACTGATTCGTGGAATTTTACATTTGGAAGGGACCTCAGTGACCCTTTGATTTTATCTATTCCCACAAAGAATATCCATTATCACTTCCCAGGCAAGAGGTCCAGTCTTTGCTTGAAACCCCACTCCAAGGATAAGGACCCCCTTGCTGCCTGCTTAGACAGCCCATTCCTCTGTGGGACAACTGTGATTGGTAGAAAATTTTACTTCACCCTCAAGTATAAACTGATTTCTTTGCACCTTCTACCCACTGCTCTTTGATCCCAAACAGAACAAAATCTAATTCTCCCCCTGCCCCTGCCCATGACAGCCCTTCAAATACTTTGAAATAGCTAACATGACCTCCCTGAGTCATTTCTTCAGCAGGTGAAATATGCCCAGATTCTTTAACTGATCCTCTTACATCATGGACTCATGGACTCAAGCCTTTGACCATTCCAGCTGTTCTCCTCTGAACATTCTCGTTATCAATGCCATTCAGAAACTGTTGTACCCAGAACTGAACACAGTACTCCAGATGTAGTCAGATCAGGCTCTTATTCTGGAAGCTACAGCACTCCATGCAGGCCAAGCTAATATCTGATTGGGTTTTTTTTGGGGGGTGGAGCTGACACATCATATTACTGATTCATGATGTTTCCACTAAAATGTTCAAATCTTTTTCAGATCAACTGCTGTCCCACTCTACTTCCTCCATCTTGTACTTGAAAAGCTGATTTTTGTGAACCCAAGTATAAGACTTAATATTTATCCCTATCGGGGTTCATCTTATTAGATTCAACCCAATGAATCAACTGGTCTGTCAAGATCTTTTTGTATCCTGACTCTGTCAGCCAGGGTGTTAGAGATCCCTCCAGCTTCATGTTATCTGCAAACATGCTGAACATACCATCATCTAGCCATTTATCCAAGTCGTGGATAAAGACCTTGAGTATCACAGGATCAGTCACAGATCCTTTGGGTACACTAGTAGAGACCTCTAGCCAAGGGGACATTGAGCCACCAAAAATGACTCTTTGGGTCTAACCATTTAATCAGTTCTATACCCCCATATTGCATCCCCTTATTGTCACCATTTATTTTGCGTAGTCTTCTGACCCTGTCGTGTCTTTTACACTCACATGACATAATCAAAGTTTGTTAGAATAGAATAGGTCTAGCTCCTCATTGGAATATTCATTCTCTCTCATTACTTATTAACCAATCAGAGTTGATTGCCACCCTCAGGAGCACCCACTCTTCCAAAGGCATATACACTGTGATCCTACTTCCATGAGGGGACTTTGTCATTCAAGAGTGCCACTGACCTCTTTTATTAATAAAATGCTACCATTATTAATAAAATGATTTGTCTCTAGAACTTTTTTGTCTGTTTTGTCTTCCTGCGTTTGGATGTCTGTTTTTTTCTTGCTGGTTGCCTAAACATTCAACGTATGCATTTAGAAATATGAGGCCGCTGAGTTTTACTCCTGGCTTTATTATTGGATTTTGTTTAGTGTTAACTCTTAGGCATCTCGACTGAGATTCTTCTTCCTTCATTGTGGTCATTCTCTGTGGTATCTAGCTTGCAGGTATGATTTAAGAAAGGATTGCTTTAAATTTTTGTAGTGGGCTGAAGATTCTTCACTCTCTGCTCACTTTGGTGTCCATAAAATATTGATGTGAAGTTATGTGAATAGCTTTGGGCTATTAAAGCTCAGAATTACACTAAAGCTTTTGGGATGCACTGTATTTGAGTGTAAAAGGAGACCAGCCAATGAGAGACCAGCCCTTTCAGATCACATGCAGCCTGCTTGGTTGATGAACTGTCCCATGTGGACTTCAAACTGTGGGCAGACTTTTTATGACCATTTCCTATCTGACTACCAGGTAGGCTGGTCTCTTAACTGGCTGTGCTGTTGGAACTGAGTGTGTAAACAAAAGACTCCTATGGGAGCACGATTTCCTTCCGGATGGTAAACAAGGAAGATAAACTTCTGAAAGACCTGGATGAGGAAGGAGCCTAGGCCCTCTCCCTCCAAGAGCCACATAAAGCCTCCAGCACATGGCCCTGTTCCTGGGGAGAGAAGAGAGACCTAGCATCACTGGTTTATTCTCCCTAGCAGAGTAGACGTGGCGCCATGAGCACTTCACCCTGCTATTACTTCTGTCTAAGTTGTATCAATTATTTCCTGACTTAAATGAAGGAATGTTGGAGACAGAATGAACTAGGCTGGGACATTGTGTGCTTTGAGAGCACACCTGAGCCCCAGTGAGTCCATGCCAGAATTTGTGGTCAGATAGTAGGGGGAGGAGTGAAGCCTGGAGCAATTTAGTAGTGTATGGAAACCAGTCGGTAGAGAGGAGCTGGTCATCTTCATTCAGAAGGGAAGTGAATGTACTGTTGAAATTGCTTTAAGTTTGAGGTTACTCTACTCAGAAACCAAAGTAATACAGGGGAGAGTGTGTCCCCAGGGGTATAAAGGGGAAATGGTTATACTTCTATTTTTGCTATATCTTAGTAAATAACATTTTGTAAAGGCTAATTGATGTTAACTGGCTAAATGAGACCGGAGTGCTAATTATTGGGTCAATCAAAGATAGAACAGAGATATTAACTATAACTGTTGGTTGATATGGGGAGAACACTCCAGAAAGGGTCTCAAGCCAATGGTATTAGAAATGTGCTCCACTATGCCTTAAGGGTATCCCTAGAACCCAGAAAAGAAGTTTTATTCTTCATGTGGGTATCCAGCTTCCCAGTGAGAGTGAAAATTGGAATAAGGACCTCTGGAGGATATGAGGGCTGCAATACTATATGAGGGTTTTTGTTTTCTTTTTTGCATTGTGCTAAGTCAATAAGTAATCTAGACCTAAAATTAAGTTGGCCAGATCTGACATTTTCTTAGTACAGTTTTCCCTCTTGTCAATCCTTTTCAATCCAAAGACTGTTTGATTAGATTAGATTGCAAGACTCCAAATAAGTATTCTTACCAACTTTTATTAGGGACACTCCATCCCTGGCCAGGAGTCTTGGCATCTCATTCTCAAACATCACTTTCTTAGCCAGCTATTTGCTTCCCAAATTAATTTTTCACTTCTGCATTCCTTGACTTCAGAAAGCAGCAGTGAGGACATTTACAGCTCATGCATTCAGTTTCTTGCCCAGCCTTCGTAATCTTTGGCAATAATTTTAATCTAACATGCTATTTTATGAATGAGAAACAGAGCCCCGTCTCAAAGGATAAGTGGCCAGCTCAAGATCACGCAGTTAGTGAGAGAGTCATGTTTTGAATCTAAGTCCCTCCGTTATCCAGAATATGTAATCTTCCCATTGTTCTAAATTAAACATGGCGCCAAGGATGTGCTGAATTATTTGTTCACTCCTTTAGGGTTCTTGAGATACCCAATCTTCACAAGAATTTTTAATATCTGGACAAATGCACAAACTAATTCATAATCATTTATTGTAAATCACTCTGAAATGTACACACCATTAATGGACAAATTAACACAGTTAAATACCCTCTGTATCAGGTACATTATGAGGACAATTTCATATTGGAATCATTTCTTTAAAAAACTTTTAAATTTAAAATCCTACACCTCTCCTAAAAATAGTTGTCTTCAAAGTGCTCCAAATGCCAATGATGTCAGGCTTTTCTCTTGTGCTGGCTGACACGTAATGCCAAGGGCACTATGCTCCATTAATTCAACATGCTCCTTACCAGGCAACTTGACACACATTAAAAAAAAATCCAGAAGCTCATTGTGTAATCATCATTTTATATTTTGATGCTAACTTAATGAATGCTGCATGCACTTAAACATTAGTAGACACTGAATTCTAGATAAACACCAGTTAATTATGATCTGATTGCCTGATGTGGAAAATTAATGGACTTACTTTGAGAGAGTAGCTGAAGTACCCATGCACCAGTGACAGTGATTGATTACACTAGAAACCAGCTCTGTCAACTTTTAAATGAGGGCTTTGTTTGGCACCAGGCATATTTGCACTAGGCTCCTTTACAAATGACACTGGCAATGAGGATAGACAAAAGGCAGGCTGGAGCAGTGGAGAGAAAGCTAGCCTCGAAGCCAGGAAGACCTCGGTTCAAATCCTACCTTTGTCCCATCCTGGCTGTGTGACTCTGGGTAACTCTCTAAGACTGTAAATTGCAGAGTAGGATCCAAGCTACAGAGGGAGTTTCCTCACCTGGGAAGTTCCCATATAAATAAAATCACAGGTCCAGACCATAACCCTATGAGGAGAGAGGAATCACAGGTCCAGACCACAACGCTATGAGGAGAGATGAATCACAGGTCCAGACCATAACCCTATGAGAAGAGACGAAGTATTTAAACGAGCCGTAATTTACAGGACCAGCTGGGTGTATACTTTTAAACACAAAGTTTGCCGAGCAGAAAACAAAATTAGCAAAGAAACTGAAGTATCAGTAAGCTTAGTCACAAGGTAAAAAATAAGAGTGGCATTTCCCTTTTTCTCTTCCAAATTATTTTAAGTCAACTTTTCTCTTTCCTAAAAGAAAACAAAACAATCCCAGCCCCTGAATACACTTTTCTTAAAAAGCATACTTAAACTTCCCTCTTTTTGTTCGTTTTCTCACTCTGCCTACTGGATTCTTCATGTAGTATATCTCAAAAGCCATGCTCGATCAGTCACTAAAAAAAAAATTTCAAACCATAACTTAGAAAGACTATTCAATTCCTTCATCCAGTCAAGGTCAAGACCATGTATAAATTTATGACTGTACATTTAACATATAACTATGAAGACTATTCCATATCCTACATCTTGGAACACTAACGTTAAATAACATCTACGCTGACTTTTCCTCTTACATTTCAATTAGGAGTTTGATTTGAGACATTAGACAAGCTGATTCTTAAAACAAATAACCCCCAAACAAAACCACAACAGATTCCCCCCACCCCCAACAAAATGAACGAGACTGCATTGCTCAAAATAAAGAACCAATAAGTAAACAGCATATATGTTGGATAAAGGTCAAATAGTCAAGCACTGCCATCCCCAGTCCTCTCTTTACGGGCTTGGATCATCTGCTCAGGAACCCGTTTAAGATCAGTGGCCAGCCCTAACCAGGACATGAAGTCAATGAACCATGTGGTCGGGTTGAAGTTTAAGCCAAATTCGCTGGCAGAGTAGTCAAATGGGAAGGTGTGGTGGTAATTATGGAAGCCCTCACCTAGAAAACAAAGAAAACAGTTAAGAAAATCAGTCAGCTTCTTTCCAGGTAGAATGTTGATGCAAAATAATAATAGTAATAACAAAAGACATTTCGATACCACTTCGGTTTGCAAAGCCCTCTAGCGTTCATCTGAGCCTCACAAGGGGCTCTGGGGTAGGTGTCTTGGTTCAGGGTCAATGGTAACAGTGTTACAGAGAAAAACAATTTTGAAAGACTTTTTAGCGCTCTCATTTATGCAATGACAAGCCATGAGTCCAGAGGACTGAAGATGAATCTCACCACCCACCTCTCACCATAAAAGTCATAGACAAAGAATTCAAAATGGGACCTATATTTTTGGACATAGGCAAATAAAAGAATTTACTTTACTGAGCTATGCCCACTTATTGTGAGGGTTTGGTCTGGTTTTGTTGTTCAAATATGGGAAAGATGGGAAGAAGAGATAATAAATTAATGCTTATAAAAATAAATTTTAAAATAAAGTTTTAAAACCATATTTAGTAAGGGTGCAATAAAATTGTCCTCAAAACTTAATTGGCACAAGAGACTTATGTTTGAACTGTTGACATAGCTTCCCAGGCTAAGGCATATGAGGCCAGGGCACCAGGAGTAGAAGTTCCTTACATCTGGTTTTCCTGTTGCTTTGAACATCAACACACTTGACTAGTGTGCAGATGGAAAAGAAGGGAAGTACACCCAATTGAGCCAATACCATATCTTTGCTGGTTACCCTTACTGTAATATTAAGTAAACTTTTTTTGTTAAAAGTTTTTAAGTAGCAGCGAAGAATGGTGTAAGACTTAAATAATCATGAATGCGTCTTTCACCAATTTTTCACTACACATAGAGGAACCATATAATCTTGTTATAGATCCAGGGGTATACTGGAGCAGCTCAAATCAGCTCTCAAGAGCCCATTGTTAAATTTTTTATGTGAGCATTGGCACCTGGAACCCCTTGGAAATTGGCAAATGCTACAAATCTGAGCTCCATTTGTTGTTCTGTTGATTGTCTAGACTTGTCTAGGAAACAACAGAAAAATGTTAATAACACAGATTAAATTCAAAAGTGTGTCTGGCAAACATTTCCCACCCACCCCCACTTCTTAACTAACTTTCAATTTTTGCTAGCACATCCCTGTATAGATTCTATACTGCTTTTTGGATCCAGTAATTAAATCCATCTCCTACTTCGTTGCCAAGGTTTTCATCTGTCTAAGGTCCCTTAGGGCAGAAATGTACTTGTATCCCCATGCCTAGCACAGTGCCTGACACACGGTAGGTATTTAATCAACAATGATTGATTATAAAGGGGATGGCTTCAGAGACGCCTAGGAAGACTTGCATGAATTAAGGCAGAGTGAAGTGAGAAGAACCAGGAGAACAATTTGTACAATAACAACAATGTTGTCAAAACAGTCAATTTTGCAAGTCTTGGGAACACTGATCAACTACAATTACAGAGAACTCACAGTAAGACAGGCTGCTCATCTCCTGATAGAGATGTGATGCACTCAGAACACAGACGGCAACATATTTTTTTGATGTGGCCAGTGTGGAAATTTGTTTTGTTTGACTTGTTTGTAAGAGAGGATTTTGTTTTTCTTGCTTTCTCAGTGAGAGGGAGAGGGGGAGAAGGTAGATCTTCACTTAAAAATAATTAAAAATTTAATTAAAAAAAGAGGAACACACAAGTGTCCATCTACTTAGAAAAATGTTGATTTATTGATTTCTATCAAAAGTCTCTGTCCGACTTAGGGGCAGATAGTCCATGTAACTCCCAGCTTGATTTCTGCATGTGAAACCTGACACCTCTATTTAGACCAAGGCTACTCTTCCAGGAAACTGCCAAGGATTTTGGGGGCCCAGGGTCCCCCAATATCTCAACTCTAAAAGAGCTGCTCTCCTATTCAAATGGGTAGGAGCAGGAAAGACGGAATAATAAAAGTGAGCCCAAGGAATAAGGCCATTGTCCTTTCTTTGCTCTACCTCATTCCTGGATAAAAGAAATGTATGTATAAAGCAGGATAATCCTTTCCAGGCTTTGAACCTACTCACCACCTCCAATTAGAAAGAGATTTAAGCTATTGTTCACTATATGTCACCAAATCAATGATAAGAAATAATAATAGTAATTTTTCTTAACATAAGAAAAAAGCAGATCTTCAAGATAAGTAGGGAACAAATACAAATATGGGAGACCAAGAGATATTTCCTCAAAGAAAAGTGCTAAAAGCATATGAATAAACAGTTCTCAAAAGAATTGGACACCATTAACAGACATATATCAGATTGTTCTATATCACCAATAATAAGAGAAACACAAATCAAAATAATTCTAGGTTTCATCTTACACCAAGCAAATTGACAAAGGAGACAAAAGATGGAGGCAGTCAACGCTGAAGGAATTGTGGAAAGACAGGTAAATACGTTGTTGGTGGAGCCGTGAATTGGTCTGATCGTTCCAGAAAGCAATTGGAATTACGATAAAGAAACGATATCCACACCTATTGACCTAAAAAAAGGTATGGTTTGCAAAGTGTGCTCTCTCACTCTCTCTCTCTGTCTATCTGTCTCTCTCTCTCCCTCTCTCTCTCTCTTCTCTCTGTCTCTCTGTCTCTCTCTGCCTCTCTCTCTCTCTTCTCTCTGTCTCTCTCTGCCTCTCCCTCTCTCTTCTCTCTGTCTCTCTCCCTCTCTTTCTCCCTCTCTCTTTTCTCTATCTCTCTGTCACTCTCTCTTTTCATATAAATATACGTATGTGTGTATGTGTATCCCCTCCTTTGCTCCTCTGATCCTCATAACAACCCAGTGAGATAGGTGCTATCATCACCTCCAACGGATTAGAAAACTGAGGTCTAGAAAAGTTAAGTGACTTTCAGAGGAACACACAGCCACTAAGTGTCTGAGGGAGGATTCAAACTCAGGTCTTTCTGACTCTAAGTCCAACACTGTATCCACCACGCCATACTGTCAAAGAGAGAAGGAAAGGTCCTATGTATAACAAAATATTTACAGCAGTACTTTTTATCATAACAAAACACAGGAAGCAAAATAGATGCTCATTGATTAGGGAATGGCCAAAACAGGGGCACAGGAGTGCATTGGAATATTACTGTGCCATTAGAAATGATGCATACAGAGAATTCAGAGAAGTATGGGAAGACATATGAACTGATGAAAAGTGAAGTAAGGAAAATAATATACCTAATGACTACAACAATGTAAATAGAAAGAACCACAGAAAGTCTCGAACAACATGTTATTCTATTTTCTTATTTTATATTTATTTTATAATATTTTTCTTTTATAATTTTCATAAAATATTTTATATTTAGTTTTTTAAATTATCTTCTTATATTTACCCGAAGAAAACAAGAGAAAATGCAGCTCCCTCCCTCTTTGTAAAGGTTGGGGATTTGCATCATACTGTCACAATCACCTGCTATTTTGGTTAGTTTTATGGACCCTTTTTGTCTTGTTTCTTTTTTATTCTTTGTTACAAGAGATGGATCTCTAGGTAGGGGAGAGGAAGAGATATATTTAAAAAGAAAGGTGATATAAAAACAAAAGACAGTAGAAATTTAAAAAGAGAAGGCAAGAAGAGGGAGAAGAAAGAGAACAAGTAGAGATAGAGGAGGAAACGGAAGAGGAAAGGAGGAAAATGATGGTAGTGATGATGATGATAATGATGATGAAACTGTTGGCTCAGAGTAGCAACTAAAACCAACCACACGGTATTTGGCAAACGCTCTCCACTAATCAACAACATTAAGTAAGTCCATTCAATAGGTAAATTCATTCTGTGATCTGGGGATGCATTTTCCAGAAAATTCATCCTATGAGACCCAACAGGATAGAGTCTTCCTCAGAATCAGACATTCTCCAGGAGTCATACTAAGTTTCTTTTCCACTCAAAAAAATTAAGTAAAGTTTCTCTGACCAAAACAATCTCATATTTCTTTTATGATATAGAATTCTGGGTTGACTGAGCACATTCAAAGTTCCTTTTGGGGGAAAATATTGGCCTTATCCACAGACAACTCTACAAGGAAGTGGATCTGTGTCAGCCTTCTAAACTTTCACAACATAATTGTCAGTTCTGCCTTACTCATGTCTAATATCTAGAGCACACATATTTCTCTTTAATCCTCAACACATAGACTTTCTAAAGTTTTCTTTAAAAATTCAACCACAGATTGAATGAGATTCAGAAACTGCCAAAGGTTCACTTGTAATGTTTGAGATTTGAGAGAAATGGTTTCATGGGAGTGTTAAATATTCATTCTTCGAGGCTCTCTACATTATGACTAAAGAAAGCATTTATTAAGTGCCTACTATGTGCTAAGCTTGGACTTGGCACTGGGGATACAAAACCAAAAATGAGACATTTTCTGCCCTCAGGGAACTTACATTCTAACGGGAGAGACAGCACAGATAAAGGAGTGGTAGCCAGGGAAGGGAGTTTTTTCTTATATTTGTGTCTTGGCTTTCCTGGCTTCCTTAAAGTCCCAACTAAAATTCCACCTTCTACACTAAGCCTTTCCTGTTCCCGCCTAATCCTAGTGCCTTCCCTTTGTTGATTATTTCCAATTTACCTTGTGTAACTTAATGCATAGTTTTTTATGTGTTGTCTCCCTTATAAGATCGTGAGCCTCTCAAGGTCGGGGACTGTCTTGTATTTTCTTTGTGCCCCAAGAGCTGAGCACAGTGCCTGCCACGTAGTAGTCTCTTTATTTTTGTTTTGTTTTGTTTTTGGCTTTTTGGTGAGGCAATCAGGGTTAAGTGACTTGCCCAGGGTCACACAGCTAGTTGTAGTAATCGCTTTATATAGTAGTAGTCTCTTTATATAAATGTTTATCAACTTACTAAGTGACCCTTTCCAGAAGGGATGGTAGTGCTATTTTGATTACTGTCCCAAGAGCAAAAGATGGAAGGGGAAGGGTGGCAAAGGGTGGCATCAGGGCAGGACAAGATGTCCAAGCTGGGATGGATATGAAGTTTGGTCTGGGACAGGTTAGATAGAGTAGGTTAGGTGAGCTTATGCTCATTCACTGATCAAGACTCCCAGGCTGAATGAGTTAACTTACCCTAGGTTAAATTGCCATAAGAAAACAATCTAACTATACATTATTATTATTATTGTTATTATTATTATTATTATTAATTAACTATTTTGTTGCTGTTATTCCTCAAGGAAAAATCTTCATTGAGTTACATTCATATCCAACACTCCACTTTTATAGAGAATCAAGGGAAGAAATGTCCATTAAAATAAAATATCTTCATTGTTTGCTGAACAGTGGTTGAAGAGATGTCTACCATACTCCCAATATCCCTTATCTAAGAATCCATCCAGGACCGAGAGGCAGTTATAGGCAGAAGAGAAGACGGATAGAGTGGAGGGAAGGATAACGCCTTCATCTCCTGATGAATTTGCATACTTACTTTATTAAACAATGAGAACTACATTCCTTCTTTGCCTTAGCTGCCTGGAAATGGAGCTAAATGTGGGACTTAATAGCAACAACTAATTCATTCCAGATGCCCAGTAAAGTTTGCTCTGTCTCTGTTAACTGGATTTAGTCCTATTTTTATTTTTATTTTTATTTTGAATCGTCTCGCTTTGTGTTGTGTTTAATGTTATAAGCTGCCTCCAGTCCCTTTTGGAAACACTCAAGATACAAATCCTAAATAAGGATACTTCATATGCTAACAGCCCAGTGAATGAGACGGACAATCCACACTATAGATTTGGTTACCATATGTTCTGAATTCTGTTGGAAATAGCAATTTCAAGAAAGGAAAGTGTCCTTTAAGGATCTTTCACCAAAGGAATATTCTTTATTAGACTGTATGTTCCAATTTGCCCAGAGGTAGCTGATGGCATGGTGGACAGAGCTCTGGGCCTGGATTCAGAAAGACCTGAGTTCAAATCTGGGCTTACAGCTACTTAGTAGCTGTGTGACCCTGGGCAAGTCACTCAATTTCTATCTGCCTTAGTTTCTTCAACTGCAAAATAGGGATAATAATACTACCTACCTCCCAGAGTTGTGAGGAAAATTTGTAAAGCACATGACATTAATGAATGCCTTTTTCCTTCCTTTCTTTTGAGTTGGTAAATGCCATTATTGTAATCAGAAGAGGCTACAATGCTCAGGAAAGACTTCCCAGGGGGAAATGAGACTTCAGTGGAGCCTTGAGGCATACACAGAATTCAGAAAAGGGGTGAGGTTGTTCCAGGCTAAGGAATTTAGTTTTTAAATCTCCCACCTTGGTATACATGTGATGATAGTATATGCAGAGAGATGACATGTTTAAGGAGAGGCGGATGCAAGGCAAAAGGAAAGACCCAGTGGTTCTTAAGGTTCTGCAGCAAGGCAGATGGCAAGGTCCAGATGGCAAGCAATCCAGATTGGCTAGAGCATTGAGTGGAGATAAAGCTAGTGTACAAACACATCTTCTTCAATGTTGAGTTCAACTGGTAAAGTCTTATTTGCTTCTGATACCGAACCATTTGACAAGTGTCAAGGACTCAGTCATGAGAATCCTTGTCTGCCTCCACTGCTTTGGCTAGACTGGTTTGCCCACCCCATTGGTAGCAGTTGCTTAACAGCTGAGGTTGGTGGTAAAGGTGATCGCGCGGCCATGTCTTCAGTGATGTTGGTCTTCCGAATGGTGACAGCGGAGGCTAGGATGAATGTAGAGCTGGTGGTTTGGGGGATGGGATGCTGCTGCTTACCTTGGGAATGTGTTCTTGGGTCACCTACACCAAGGGCTGAGAGGGGGTGGTGGTTATGGCAGTGCTTTTCCCTGCCATGCTTTGGCTTGCCTACTTACTTGTGGTGGTCGGTGTTGATGATGGTGGGGCTATATCTCTTCAGAAGCCATGTGGAACAAATCTACACATCATAGTTCTTCAAATACTTGAAGACAGCTGTCATATTTCCCATAAGTCTTCTGTTTTCAAGGCTGAAACATCTGCTGGGAACCTTCTCCCCACATTTCCCAGCTTATGCAATTATCAGATAAATGGCAGCAATTCTACCAAATTCTATCAAAAGCATATGGACTGACAGTGTTAGGATGGAGTTCCAATAAAAAAAGATATAATAACAATAACAAAGAAGGTAAAACTGCACAATAAATACCACTGGTTCTATATCATGCCTGTGTTCAATTCCACTGTTACTGTAGGCGTTTGATCAAGGGAGGTTTCCCAATCAAATTGATGAACTTACAAGAAAGGAAGCCTTTGTCTGAGACTTCTGAAAATACCTTTTGTTTGTTTGTTTGTTTTGGTGAAGCACCCAGGGTTAAGTGACTTTCCCAAGGTCACACAGCTAGTTGAAAGTATCTTTCTATGGAGGATGTGAACATGCCCAACTGCATATCACTGAAGGGACTTGGGATATCTCCCAATTAAGTCTTTGAGACTTGGCATGCCTCCAAAATGATATGGTTGGCTTATATTCCTATGGAATGGACATAGAAGGGGAATATTCCTCATGCCCGTGCTGCAGCCCTGGGAGGGCAGCAGATTCATGAATAGACCTGGGGTCCTTGCCTCCATAGGAACCATTAATGGCTGCCTTGAAGGCACAAGAAGGCTTAGAGCAGAGGTCTTGGCCCCAGGCTTGAAGCTGTGAAGAGGGAACCTCATTGCCCAAGTGGTGAAAGTTTCTGAATCCCAGCATCTTGGATAGAGAAGGGTAGATTTTCATCATAGCATGGTCCCAGAATCCAGCCTTTGAAACAGAGCTGGGAGATTTCCAAGGAAGCACTGGCCTTGGGGGATGGCTTCTAAAGCCACCTCAGATCTTGAGTTCTAGAGTCTAAGCTTCTGTCAGAGAAGGAGGAGTCCCTGAGAGTACCTGAGTGGTGCCAGCCTTTTGTAGGGAAGAGGGTTGAGCACCTGGCTCTTGTAGCTAGAAGAGTAGCAGTGGACCACAGGTCAGCAAGGGACCTGTATTTGCATTCCACTATTACCTTAAGTTGTTAACTGAGGGAAATCCCAGGGAATGGGAAGGCAGTTTCCCAATGGGAAGGCAGTTTCCATTTGGGGACAGTCTAAGCTCTGAGTAGCACCATGAGCCTAGATGTCTATATTCACCTTTATGGGGTTAAAAGTGAGATCCATCAGAATGTTGGGGGATTTCCTGTCAAGTTACTCCAAGCTTGTTTGCCCTCAGAGAGGAGCCTATGAAAGGCAGAACTCACCAGAAAGGAGGGAGAATTGTGATTTTTGATTTATGAGTTATATGTCCTTTATGTGTTTTATGCATTACTTATAGGTTCCTTTGAGACCTTTTTATTTTCTCCATTTTCTATGGGGTGAAATATAGGCTCTCTTGTACCTGAGAGCTGCATTAGTACCTTAAATATTTGTGTGGAATCTGGGGGATCTATCTTACAAGCTCTTTCTTGAGATTTTCTGAGAATAAGCTCTGGGTGGGGGCATGATGAACCAAAGAGAGAATGTGATTTTGGGGGGTAAGATTAGACCTGGTCCATATGAGCCAAGAGTCTGTGGGACCTGGACTACAAGTTACATTCTGATCCCTAATCCTCTGGGGTGTTAATTTGTGTGCCTACGAGCTCTTGATTTTTATAAGAAAACTCTGCTGTACTATTTCTATCTTTATAAAGCTTATGATCTCCTTTCTTCCTACCTTTCTCATTCAAAGATGTGGTCTTTGTTTTTATAGCTGTGTGGCACTCTATAAAGCAATTAATTAAAGCCCAAGGCTAACCAAAGCTGTTCATGTGGAGAGGGTAACACCTACTTCTTCAGCCATTACTGACGGCTCTTCAGGATTCCCCCATGACTCCTCACCACCTAATACATGTCAGAGCTCCCTTACTCTCATACCCCCACTCACCAATGGCACCCAAAGTGACAAATGGGTTCTCCCGGGGGCTGATGTGCTTGTCATAGGGCCGGTTGCCATACATGTGGGCAGCACTGTTGACCAACCAGGTAACATTGAGGGAGATGGTGTAACGGAGGATGAAGGCCAGGAAATAGGAGTTCCATAGACTCTCTCCCCAGGAATACCAGGGCACCAATGTGGGTAGAGCAAAGCACATGAGCAACACAGTGGTCTTATAGTACCTGAAAGACAAGACAGCAGAAAAGCAGGACTTCACTGTCACTGGAAAAGAAGAGGAAGAGCTAATTACTGGAAGGGGCCATCCCTGTCCAAGAGACAGTCAACAGGCCAGCCCTTTTAACACCTCCTGTAGAGGGGATAATCCATTGTGCCTCCATTCTCTAGACAACTTTCAAGAATCAGTCAACCAGTATTTTTCCACCACTTCCTTATATACATGTCATATATCACCATTAAAAAATTAATCTAAAAAGGAATGTTCCCTGTCCATAAATTGTTTACATATAAAACTAATCATTCAAACAGCTTACATAATAAATTATGCCGTAACATTTGCATGAATATTTTACAAATGCTTTTACATCATCATCATTATCCTCATCGTAGCTAACAGTTACATAGTGATTTAAGGTTTACAAAGCACTCTATGTATATTATCTCATTTGCTCTTCACAATGAGATAGATACTATTACTATCCTTGTTTTACAGGTCAGGAAACTGAGGCTTAGCGAGGCAAACAACTTGCCCAGGATCATACCGTTAGTAAATAGGAGCAGGATTCAGACTCAGGTCCTCCTGAATCTAATCTGATCTTCACAACACATTTTGGGAGGGGATGTAGGGCAATCAGGCAGAGTTAAGAGATTAAGTGACTTCTACAGGGACACAGAAGACTCAAACCAGAGTTTTCTGACCTCGACTTCCATGCTCTTTTCACTGTACTGGACATCAACATATAAAACCGTCCAGCATGGGTAGTCAATGGAAAAAACATTGAACTTGGAACTGAGTTGGAATGCTGTGTGACCTTGGTTAAGTCATTTGCCTTGCTGAGTCTCAGTTTTCTCATCTTTAGAATGAGTGGTTGGTCTAGGTGACCTCTACGTTCCTTGCAGTTCCAGATCTAGCATCCAACGTGACAAAGCTTGGCCACACAAAACCGAGCTCTTTTTTGAGGCAAAAAGAAACCAAGAGAAGATAAAGAGGAAAAACCAGTTATCTGGGTCTTATTAAATAATGAGTGGATTATTCAGAGCTCCTCATTTTTTAGTCTCCCTCATGCCATGCCAATGGATGCTCTTCTGCAGAAAGCAGGTGAAAGAGAAGCAGAGAAAATGAAGGGGGGGGAGGAAGAAAGAGAGAGACAGAGAAAGAGAAAGGGAAGGAGGAGGGAAAGAGATGAAGGCAGAGACAGAGAGAAACAGAGAATGAGAAACATAAAGAGAGACAGAGAGAAAGAGGAGGAAGGAAAGAGAGATGAAGGCAGAGACAGAGAGAAACAGAGAATGAGAAACAGATGAAGACAGAGAGAGAGAGAGAGAGAGAGAGAGAGAGAGAGAGAGAGAGAGAGAGAGAGAGAGAGAGAGAAGGAGGGAAAGAGATGAAGGCAAAGACAGAGAGAAACAGAGAATGAGAAACAGATGAAGAGAGAGAGGGGGGAGAGAGAGAGGGAAACAGAAAGATTAACAGAGAGAGACAGTCAAAGAGAGAGACAGAGAAGACAGAAAGAGACACTGGGGAGAGGGGAGACAGAGAAACACAAAAACAGACAGAGACAGAGGGACACAGAAAAAAGAGAGAGGGAGAGAGAGAGATGGAGATAGACATTAAGACAGAGATAAAGAGACAGACACAGGAGGGAAAGAGGATGAGAGAGACAGAAAAGAGACACAGAGGCAGAGAGAAGGAGACAGCGATGGAGATAGTAAGACAGAGGAAGAGACAGGGTTAGACAGACAGGAGAGAGAGACACATTCTGCCAGGGTCACAATCCTGAGGCTGTCCTTGAAAATCTTTCCCTGAGCTCCAGACATGCATCTATATGATCATCTTAGAACTTCTAAGCCTTCCCTTGTTTCTAGTATGAGTCCCTGCCAGTCCTTCCCCTGGGGTTGTGGGCTCCTTCCTTCCCATCCCCCACCCCCTTACAAAAAGACTCAAGCAGCTGGCTTCAGTTAATTACAATCCCAGGTTCTCATGGGTTATGCCACTGCAATTTAGCAAAACTAATCACTTTAAAAAACCCAAATCATTTAGATCACCGCTCATGGGGTTTCCTTGCTTAATAACATTCAGATCTAAAAAAGTCCCCGCTAACAACCCTCAGAATAATTCTCCTCTGCCTTCCTCTCCCCCTGCTACTTTCCCAGCATTTGTTGGGTCTTTCCTCACTTAATGAGCTGCTTTTTGAGGGGGAGTGGAAGAAAGAGAATGTTTCTGTCTTTAGACTTGATTGCCTCCTTGAACTACACACATTCACTTAGTAAGAACCGAGCTAGACATGAATTGATCAAACCTTCCCTCAGTGGTCCTGAAGCCAGAATGTAGGGAGACGCTGAGGCTTTGCGTTGGCCAAAACAGAGGACCAAATGTAGAAGTTTTGCTGCTGACAGATTTAATAAAGGTAAGAAAGGTGGAGAAAAACGACTTTGCCTATTTCATTTACCTTTTTGTTCTGGCCTAAATTCATACATACATACATATATATACACACATATATATATATACACACACACACACACGTGTACATGTATATGTGTGTGTGTATATATATATATGTATGACAGAGAAACAAGGAGATAAAGAGACAGAGACAGAAGGAGATAGAGAAAAGAAAGAAATGGAGAAAGAGACAGAAGCAGACAAGAAATAGAGACAGAGAAACAGAGTGACAGAGACAAAGAGAAACAGAGACAGAGAGAGACTGAAAAAGAAGAGAGGGCAATAGAGGAAGGGAGAGAGGGAGGGACAGAGAAACAGAGAAAGAGACTACACATACACATACATATATGTGTCATATGTGTAGGTGTGTGTATGCATATATACATACATACATACAGTCAGAGAGGAGGTTAGAAATTTCTAACCCTAAATGGTATTTTTGTCCAAGATAAATGACTGTGATTTTCTTTAAAATAAAAATGTTTAATCCTAGCCTAGAGAGTTCTAGGGCAGATAGGTGACACAGTGGGTAGAGCACCAGGCCTGGAGTAAGGAAGATCTGAGTTAAAATTTGGCCTCAGAAGCTTAATAGTTGTGTGACCCTGAACAATTCACTTACCCCCTATTTGCCTCAGTTCCTCATCTGTAAAATGGGGACACAACGCAGAAGGAAATGGCAAGCCACTTCAGTGTCTTTGCCACGAAAACCCCATGTTAGATGTCCATGGGGTCATGTAGAAATCCAAATAATAACAACAAACATTATCTTTATATGGTGTTGCCAGTTTATTTGGGGTAGCTAGGAAGTGCAGTGGGTAGAGTACCACGCCTAGAGTCAGGAAGATCTCAGTTCAAATCCAGCCTTAGGCACTTTCTAGCTATGTGAGCCTGGACAAATCACTTCACCCTGTTTGCCTCAGTTTCCTAATCTGTAAAATGAGCCGGAGAAGGAAATGGCAAACCACTTCAATATTTTTGCCAAGAAAACCCCAAATACAGTGACAGAGTCAGACATGACTGAAATGACTGAACAGCAAAAACAGCTCTGCCTGTTTTCTGTTAGCCGGGTGGAGGGACTTACAGCCTCTGGCCATCACTAAGGAGCTATGTTATCAAGAAGAAGCTTCCTAGGCATCTCACTCTATCAGGATGGAGCTGAGGTGCTTGGCAGGTAGTCCTGAAGAGACGAGGCCTAGACTCTGATAGCATAGAGCTGCCACAAAGACTCAAAGAGTGGCGTATTAACCAAAAGGGGAGGAAGGAAAGACAGGGTGAAGGGGGCCGGGGTGCAGTGTCCGCCCGCTGTCCAGTGGCAGAAGAGCAGGGGTGCTCCATGAATGATACAGTGCGATGCCCAGGTGCAGATCTAGCAGAGACCAGCGTGATGACATCACTAGAAGACATCAGTCTCTCTGTAGCATCTCCACGTGTGCCCAGGTCACACATGTTCCCTATAGGTGTGTCCCCATGTATTCTTCCTAGCCTGATGGTGCATTAATTTATGGGAGACTTCGTTGCACATTACTTTTATTACTCTGATGTTTCAGGAATGCATGAGATTTAAACTAATTGCATCTGGCTAACTCAGGGATGGGGAACCTGCAGCCTTGAGGCCACATGTGGCCCTCTAGGGCCTTTAACTGAATTCAAACTTCCCCTTAATAAAAGGATTTGTTCTTTAAAACTGTGGGGAAAAAAAGACTTAATAAATGGATGTGTTCTGCTAACTAGTATAATGGGGCTCATGAGCCATGGTTCTGAGTAAATGTATACTCATAGAAGACTTTGAACCTGTGATAAATTTTCTGGGTGTTCCCCAGAACACCCCAAGTCCAATATGTAGTTACTTTGCTTATTTCCTGGCTTTTTGTAAACTTCTCTTCGGACTAGTAAAAAAGTTCCTTTGACCTTATCCCTTCTTCACTGATTCATCTGAGGTGGGCCCTAGGAGAGCGAGGCAAGAGATGGTGGTTTGGGGAACCCTTTTCTCCTATAGAGTGGGTTCTGGAAACTCCATTCACGTATTAACCAAGACAACGTTGCATACAGTAACAGCAATATTGTTTTAAGAATGACTTTGGGAGGCAGCTAGATGGAGCAGTAGATAGAGCTCCAGCCTTGGAGTCAGGAGGACCGGAGTGCAAATCTGCTCTCAGACACTTGACACTTACTAGCTGTGTGACCTTGGGCAAAGTCATTTAGCCCTATTGCCTAGCAAAAAACAAAAAGAGTCAGTAAAACAAAAGCAAAAGAATGAAAAAAAATAGAAGAAAAAAGAATGACTTTGAGCAAATAAATTATTTTGACTGTTATAAATACCCAAATTAACTATAAAGCACATATGAAGAAAGAGGCTATTTGCATCCAGAGAAAGAACTGATAAATAGAAGTATGTATAGAACAATTTTGTATGTGTGTGTGTATATACATATATATATACATACATATATACATGTGTGTATGTGTGTATATATTATATATATAAATACCTATTTGTATCTAAATGGTAGCTATCTCTAGGACAGGGAGGAGGAAGGAGGAAAAAAAAGAAAATTTACC